TGGTGCTTGGCTCCCGGCCGGTTCGGTCGGGTTCTGTGTTGCTCTCTGCCTCGTCAATGGAACCGTCTGGAAGGGTGAGTCGGGCCATTCGTCACAGCTCCCTCCCGGTCTACCCGGGCTGGTTGAGCTGCGGTTGTTGCCGCTCCCGCCTGGTCTTTCTGGGCTGGTTGAGCTGGCCTGGCTGCTTCTCCCTGGTGAGGCTTCGAGCTGGCTGCTTGTTGGTGAGTATTCCCAGTTTCGTTCTGGTATGGGTTGGTTCTTGGGGTCTTCCCTCCACTCTTGGTTTGTGTTGGGGGGGTTTCCTTCTTTTTCTGGGTGTGTGTCTGTGTCTGTTTGCGTGTCGGTTGTGTTTGCCATGGTTGTTCTTGACCTTAATTGGTCGATATGTCGTTTCCATGCTCGTCCGTCGGTTGTCTGTAGCCGGTATGAGTGGGGTCCTGTCACTTGGGTTATGGTTGCTGGTACCCAAAGTGGATCCCCGGTAAGGTTCCTCGCGTATACTGCGTCGCCTGGTTTAAATGTTCGGTCTTTGCTTGAGGAATTTGGGGTTTTTTCTGGGTTGTACGTGGGGTGCAGTCTGTCGAGTGGGGACCTTAATTTCCTCCCCATTACTAGTTCTGCCGGGCTTTTGTTGGTTGTTGGGTTCGGGGTTATGTGTTGTATAAAAAGCATTTTATTTATTTTCTCTTGGATTTCCCCGTTTTCTATCTTTTGGATTGTTTTTTTTGTAAATTGAACCATCCGTTCCGCCCTCCCATTTGCCGCCGGATGTGCTGGCGCTGTCAACGCGTGTCGTATCCCCCGCTCTGCTAGGAATTTTTCGAATTCCAGCGAGATAAATTGTCGGATACGATGATGTCTGGGAAGCCGTGGGTTGCGAACAGCTTGCTGAGTTCCTTGGTAACGGCCTCCGTGGTGGTAGTTCTCATGTTGCTTACCTCCAACCAGTTGGAGTAAGCATCTACCGTAATGAGGAAGGTGTGCCCTTTCGTGGGCCCGGCAAAATCTATGTGAATCCTGGACCATGGTCCCCTGGGGGTTTCCCATTCCAGGATTGGGGCGGCAGGGGGGCTGGGCCTGGTTTCCTGGCATCGGTTGCATGCTGCCACCCAAGCCTCGATTTGTTTGTCCATCCCTGGCCATCAGGCGTAACTTCTGGCCAAGGCTTTTGTCCTAACGATGCCTGGGTGCCCCTCATGTAACAATTTCAATACCTTTCCCTGTAATTTTTCCGGAATGACAACCCTATCCCCCCACAGTAAACAACCTCTTTGTAATGACAGTTCTGTTTGCCAGTTCCGGAATGTCCTGAATGTTTCATCGTCGTCCTTTTCGGGCCACCCCTTCTCTACCCAATGTAACACTCGCGCCAGACGTTTGTCTTTATTAGTTTCGCGGGCAATGTCTGACGCGGTTACGGGTAGATCGGGCAGAGTCTCTATGCTAAGGGTGGTCGTCGTGGGTGCTGGGTTGGTGTCCAAGTCAGGTAGCGGCATGCGGCTCAGGGCGTCTGCGTGGGTGATTGTCTTACCGGGTCGGTGTGTAAGCCGGTAGCTGTAGGCGGCAAGGAATTCGGACCACCTTGTCATTTTTGGAGATAGAATGATCGGGGTGGCCCTGTTTCCTGCCAGGATTCCCAGCAGCGGCTTGTGGTCGGTGACGGTGGTGAACGTCCGGCCGTAGATGTATTCGTGGAAACTTTTGACGGCGGCAACGATAGCCAGGGCCTCTTTGTCCAGCTGGCTGTAGTTTCTTTCCGGTTTGGTGAGGGTCCTTGAAAAAAAGGCGATGGGTGCTTCCTTTCCGTCGGAGAGAGTGTGGCTGAGGACGGTGCCGACGCCGAAGGGTGATGCATCGCATGTGACTGCTAGCGGTAGGGTCTCGTTGTATTGGATGAGGATGGCATCCGAGGTGAGTAGGTCCTTGGTTTTGTTGAAGGCGGCTTCCTCGCGTTTCCCCCAAGTCCACGGGGCCGCCTTGTCCAAAAGCCTATGCAAAGGCTCCGCCGCAGTCGCCTTCTGGGGCAGGAAAACATTATAGAAATTAAGCAGTCCTAGAAATGCCTGTAGTTCCATTTTATTCTTCGGCCTGGGGGCTTCCTTGATTGCTCTGATTTTTTTCTCGGTTGGGTGAATTCCGTGCCGATCTAAAAGGTACCCCAGGAATTCGACCCTCTCGGTATGTAATTGGCATTTTTCTTTTTTAACCTTCAGCCCCGCATTTTTGAATTTCGTTAGGACCTCCCTCAGGCGACCCTCCAGTTCTTTTTGGTTGGCTGCCGACACCAGTACGTCGTCGAAGTAGGGCACCACCCCCTTGATTCCTTGCAGGAGTCTCTCCATGAGGCTCTGGAATATTCCTGGGGCCACGCTGACTCCAAATTGGAGTCTCTTACAGCGGAAGGCCCCCCGGTGGGTTACTATGGTTTGCGCCTCGGCGGTTTCTGCGGCGACCGGCAGTTGTTGATAGGCTTGCGCCAGGTTGAGTTTCGCAAAAACCTTGCCTCCCCCCAGTGAGTGTAGGAGGTGCTGCACTACTGGGATGGGGTAGGCGCTCTGTTGTAAAGCGCAGTTTAGGGTGGCCTTATAGTCCCCACAGATTCTCACCGACCCATCGGGCTTGACTGGGGTGACTATGGGGGTCTCCCACCGGGCGTGGTCAATTGGTTCAAGGACCCCTTGTCTGATGAGCTTGTCTATTTGCTCATCGATCTTGGGCCGGAGTGCGAAAGGTACCCGCCGTGGTTTTAGGCGTATTGGGGGAACGCTGGGGTCTAGGCTGAAGGAAATAGGGGGCCCTCGGTACTTGCCTAGGGTGCCGTCGAACACTTCCTGGAAGTCCCTTGCGAGTTGCTCCTCCCAATCGGCCTCCCCGACGTGATCGATGCCCGTCACTTCGATTCCGAGTGGCGAGAACCATTGCAGTCCCAAAAGACTGGGGCGATCTCAGTCCACGATCGTCAGTGGGAGCCTTGCTGTGCGCCCCTTGAAGGTTATCTCGAACTGTCCTGTTCCGACTACCGGGATGCGATTTCCCTGGTAGTCCTTGAGGATTAGTTTCTGGATTTCCAGTCCCCTTCTTTGGATTTTGGGCACCAGGCGCTTGATTTCCCGCCATGCAACCATGGAGAGGTAGGACCCGGAGTCCACCTCCATCTTGCATGGCTCGCCCTTGATGCCCACTTCCACATATACCTTCCGGGCGTCTGCGCTGGACGAATGGCCGATGACGACCGTCTGGTGGGTTTCCTCTCTCTGCCGGTTCTTGCTGTTTCGGCGGCCCCGTCCATCTCGGCTCCAACGATTTTCGGCTTGGCGGTCTCTGGGCCTGGGGGGGGGGTGCCGTCTCATCTCCGGTTGCTGTTGTCTCGTCGCCGGGGGCTGTAGTTTTTCTTAAGTCGGCAGACTCTGGCGATGTGGCCTCTTTTATCGCAGTGCCGGCATATAGCATCGAAGAATCGGCACTCCGATCGAGGGTGGTTGCCTCCGCACCCGGCGCATTGGGGTCCCGACTTACGACTCCGCCGATCGCGCCGGTCTCATTCCGTCTGGAGTCGATGGATGTCCTCTTCCTCGTCCATGGTGTCAGAAACAGAGTCGAGGTCGCCATGGTGTATGGTGGTGGTCTCTCGGTGGTGGTCTCTTGCTTCGGAGTGTGTCTCGGTTGCCGTGCCTGTCTCGGTGGTTGTGGCGCGGTCTCCGGCGTCTGGTCTCCGCATTCGAGCCGCCGATTTCCGGGTCGCTTCGGCTGCGGTGGTGTCTGCAAGGATGTCGGCGAGGGCGATGTCGCCTTTTGCCATCAGTCGGCTTTGTAGGACCGGGTCTCTGAGCCCCAGGACGACGCGGTCTCGGAGTGCCTCGTCCATGTCCGTAAACCCACACATGCCCCCGAGATTTCGTAGGTCAGCCACGAAATCGCTGATGCTCTCGCCCGTTCTCTGGTCTCGCCAGTAGAAGTCGTGCCGCCTGATGAGGGTGGGCACGGCGGGGGCATAGTGGTTCCGGAGCAACGGCTCGAGATCGGCCCAGTCCATCGTCTTTACGTCTTCGGGTTTCACGAGGGCTTTTGCCATCTTAAACACTGCGGGCCTGCAGTGTGTTAGAAAGACGGCTCTTTTCTTCTGCCCGTTTGCGTCCTTTAGGTTGCTACTTTCGAGGAACATCAGGAACCGGTCGGTGTACGATTCCCAATCCTCAGTAGCTGGGTTGAAAGGCGCGGGCGGTGCGATGCTGACCATCTCGTCGGTCTCGTTTCCTTCGGACACGTATTCGATGGGAATCAGGCTTGGGATCCCATCCTCGT